AACGAGAGTGTAAACGGGAAATTGCTGCTCCTGCAGAATAGGACTAGTGTATGTCCCAGGTCTTAAGGGAATTAAAGATAATGATCTGAAATCCCTATTATGGTACCAGAACCTGCGATAGGAATATCAACGAAAATCAGTGAAAAGTAGTCCTTGATAATATATAGAAAACCGAACATAAAGGAATGCGCTAGGCTCAGACAAGCCAATTTTTATTGCATAATCCCCTACCCTCCATTTCTGGCATACTCCATTACTATTTGGTTGTTTTTTTTTTTAGGTCCTCCCCATCCTCGCCGTTAAGGCTATACGGGATTTTCGGGTGTGGGCGGGGATTTAAAAATCGCCTTGGCACCGGGACGTGAACTCGTGACTATTTTTATAACACATTTATCATATATAAGATTGCCGGGCAACGGTGGTGCTGTACACAACGCGTTAGTCCATTCGACCACCCCGCCCACACTATTTGGTTGTTATAGAGGTACAACCAAACCTATTCTAACCAGAGTGAGCGGGCCGAGTTTCATTCCGAGGGTCCGCCACGAAATAATAGTCAACCCCTCTCTAGCCGGATTCGAACCGACGTCGCTAGGCACGAGGATGTTAGAATGGGCAACGCTCCAACACACTGGGCCACCACAACCTCATTTGGACACTAACAGGCCACTTCTCTTCTATTTCCATGGCTCCACAACCTGCGAGGGGTCACCGCAGCCTGAAGATCCGCCATTCATTTCGAATCCATGCAGCCGCTTGTCCACTCCCGGATCTCCATAATCGTGCGTGCATCCTTGGTCTTGGCCGTCCACGCCGTCTGATGGTATGGATTTCTTCCTCGAGGAACCTTCTTGGTATCGAGTTAACATCCTTCCTGGCCATATGCCCAGCTCTGAGATGTCGACATTTGTTATGAACCGCCAAGCTCACTCGTTGGCATCAAAAGTTGCTTTGAAAATTCTTTTCAGGACCTTTCTTTCGAATCAAAGGAGTTCATTTTCTTGGGCCTTGGATGGAGTCCAGCACCCTGATCCATATGTAAGCATTGGCCTAATCAGAGTTTTGTACAAACCCAATTTGGTTGTGCGAGACAACCAATATTGTTTTTCATCTGTCGCACTAGCCCAAAATAACATATGTTAGTTGAAACGATTCTTCTTTGAATTTCCTTCCCCAAATCGTTATTCTGAGTTATTTACTCTCTAAATGTACATCTGTTCACTTGTACATGGGAAGGAAGCACCCCATTTGGTTTTTTACCATGTATTTTGTTTTTGATTGGTTAACTTTAAAGCTCATTTTTTGCTGGAGCATATTGCAAGTTCTCTAACACCTCGGCCATGCCTTTAAATTTTCTTCCAATGATATTAATATCATCTGCATAGCTCAGTTGATAATTGTTATTCCCGTTTAGATGCCTGATTCCTTTATCGCGCCCTCCAGAGAAAAACTAAATAAGAAACATACAAGACTGTTACCTTGCCGTAGACCGCAGTAACTCAGGAATGAATCCGAGAGTTGAACACCACTCCGCTTCCGGATGAGTCACACAAGCTTGAGTGGAACTTCCATATTGAGCATAACTATATAGAATTCGCCCCTTTCCCCACTGTCCTATGCGGCCTAGAAGTCTATAAACAGATATGGATATATCAACCTAAGGGAAACATTATGTCTTTTCTCTCGTAAAACCAGCCTGGTATTTGCCTAACTCTCAGCATTGGGTGCCTGAGGAACAAAATTATAGACAACACTTTATAAGCACTGGACAGCAGTGAGATGCCCAGATAGTTTCTACAATCCAGGCCTCTACCACGCTACTTCAGACTAAAAATACATCTAAAGATATGTGGGATAGTTGACGATTAATTCTGGCGTCTGTGCAGACTAGCACGGGAAACTATTTTTCACTATATATTTTTCACTCGGACAATCCTGTCCTATTGTCTGTGGGGTTGGCAAAAAGGACCGACATGACCACTTCCCGGAGACTGAGTCCTCCATCTGTACCAGAACCCGGAGCTGTGGGGAGAGAGAGGGGTAGGTGGAGGAAGGAGGAGGAAGGAGACATACAAACAAAGAACAAAGAAGAGGAAGAGGACAACAAAAAGATAAACTATCAGATAAACTAGTGATGCCAACTTTAATATAAGCGGTTATATTAATTACTACATACCTGCATATGCATAGGTAATTCATTCCATATTGAATCAACTTGACATTTTCTTTTGTTATAGTATGGATTTTTCGAAAATTGCCTAATTTCAACAAGCTGTAGATTTAAAACCAATCGTGATAGAAAGATATTTGATAGGTGATTTTAAAAATTATTTTATAGGTTTTCATTGGAGAATACCCTCGAACCTACAGCATAGCATTTTATTTACTCTTGATCCATTAATTTCTCAATCTTAAAATTTGGTGTGACTCTAACTACATATGTCTGAATAAAATACTTTGAAATAATTTAAGATAACATATCTTGAGATTTTCAAAATTTATAAGACAAGAAATTTTGTTTTCTACTCTTTAAGGTTGTTAGGTTAAATATCAAACAAAAGACCGTCTTTCAGTTTCAAATGAGTTATCAACAGAACCCGAATTTCCATACAGTTAAAGATCGCAGAATATACCATACAATATGCAGTAAAAAACCGTCAAATATGAAATTAAATGAAAATATTTTGCTTCCTCACTACCGAAGGAAGGGAGAGATTGTATTCGTGCGAGAGTTTAAAAATATTTTGTGCTCAGAATCGAAAATTTCCACTCGCGTTTTACGTTACAGACACCAAGGATCAAATTTGATTCGGCGTCTGTATGTCTGTCGGTCTGTCTGTAGTAAAATTGATGTGACGGGTATATCTCCTACAACCTTTTATCCGATTTTCATGAAATTTTCAGGGATTGTGTATTCCAAACTAACAAAAAGTTGAAATTTTTCCAATGGATTTTTGGATCCATCCATTTTACGAGTGAAAACATATCTATTAAGTATATACCACAACTGTTAGTGCTAACGTCGTATGTATACTTTTTCAATTTTTATTCTATTTGTGCTAAAGGTGACATTTTGTAATCTGCAACTGAAACAGATAGTCTGCTACTATGGAAAATAGCAAAACATAATAATAAAATATGAAATCATACTAATAAATCATAAAAAAATAATTAGTTGTTATGTTCTCCTGTAAAACAAGACCTTTTGCTACCTCAGTAAAGTATGTACTGGGTTTTTTTTTTTGCAATCCCGAATCATCAAATAGGTGATCTGGAAATGTGGAACTCTTCGCATTTTAATATTCACTGATAAACAAAATTTGTGGATATCAAATCCGTGAATGATGAGTGATTACTGTATTTACGAAAACGGATTCTCCTGGAGATTTTATTATCATTCGAAAAATTATACATCTTCAAATATGGAGCCAAAGAAAACGGTGAGGAAGCCATGCTGACTTTACTTGGTAGAAGTTAATTTTATCATCCTGGAACTGTTATCCCTTTAGAACAAATTATAGATACAGAAAAAAATACCCGTGTAGCCATACATTAAATTAAATATTTACATAATCATTTCTCATTAAAATTAAAATATAGGAAGACAGAAAAACATGCAGATATATATAAAATAAACATGGATAAATAAAATAACATAAGTAAACTAAATAATTTCGGGAGGAATGGTTCTCTTGTGAACATTTCATGATCAATCGGGTTGGGAAAGGAGTTGGTGTGCGAAACTGCCTTTACAGGAAATTTGCAGATGGAAGAAAAAACACTTTATCGGTGAATGGCAGGATAGGTATGCCTGGGAGTCAAGTTCGAAAGATGAAGATCACTATCCAACCAAACGTCTCTCTACGCCTATGGTTTTCTAACACTTGTGTTAAGTTAAACAGAAAAGAATCTTAAGTCTTACTTACAAGATTATGAATTAACCATGGTCGTACAAATCGCGGCTTGACATTAATTAAATTTGAAAGAAATTATAAATGTTTGACATGCAACTCCATAGAGGACCCAATGCACATTATTCTAAAATGCAGCAGATATGATAAATACCGGAGTAAATATCCCCTCAACCAAAACCATAGCGCTTTCCTCCAAGGGCTGGCAGATCTAGATAGGGGTACCATTAAGTCGTGCAGATTTTTTAATGAATCCGAAAAAGATTTTTAAAAATAACTAAATAAATAATATAATATACATCCATATCTCCATTCTATTTTAATATAGCAATAGGGGTAGTATAGGACTTCAGTGGGAGTCTTAGGCCGAGGAAAGGAAAAAAAAATCAGTTGTGCTTAAAAACGGGAGAGATTTAAATGAGGAAACTGATTGTGCATATCGGATATCTGGAGTGATGGTATTCCAGATGGAGGCGGCTTGAATCATGAAGGCCTTGTCAAACGCAGCAGTTCAGTGAGGAGGAGGAATAAGGTCGGAAATACGGGATCTAGTGGGACGCGATTGAATGAATTATTTAAATTGTAGGCTGTGAAAAATATAAGAAGGTCAATGGGTTCTGGTGGCTTGGTATAGAAAGGTGTGCAAAAAAGAATATGCAGTAAAAAATACCCAAATATGCAATAAGATAGTTAAAAGATTAAAATTAGCTAATGCGCCAACAATTAGACGCTAATTCAAACATTCTGTGACAAACAAGAAATGTATATGTGTGTGTGTGTGCGTGTGTGTGTGTATGCGTGCGTGCGCGTGTATATATACCTAATACCAGATAAGATTTTTTTTTAATTCTTCAGGATGTAAGTTTTCAGTTGTTCTCTTCTTTAACAATTTCTTTTCTTTCATACATCTTTTAAATTTGAAAAATGGAAGTTAGTCTGCAGTTAGGTGGACAGGGGATGTAATTAGTAATTAAAAAAATAGATTGCGGAATGTTGTGGATACACTAATCTATATCTTTTTTATACAAACATATATCTTTTTTATACAAATACTAACTTTTTCGTCGTATAAAATGTTTCAAATAAAGTTCAGAATTGTTGAAATCCACTTTTATTCACATTCATTAATATTAGTAGATATCATTGCACCAAGTTAAAGTAACAAATGTGCAACATTGGACAGGTTAACATTCACTCTTTAACGGAGTGTCGACGACATTATATACAGCCAGATGTACAGTTACAAAAAAAACAAAAAACATATGGAAATTAAATGTTTTAAATTAATACTTTATATCATCTATAAAAAGTCATTAAGTACATTTTTGTTGAAATTAAACTTTTAAGAAAGTTTTTATGTGAATTCTAACATTATTTATCGATTATAAAAACATCGTAAGTGCACTAAAATGACACAAACCCTTTTCTATATTAAATATAGTTACAACAAGTGTATAATGTTTTGATTTCACAACGAGAAAATTCATAAAAGATTAAAGTGATTTAAGGTCATTAACTTTTACTTTAATCACTTTCTAAATATGAAAATAACTATTTCTACTAATTGTGTGACGTGCTCATCGCATCACATTATCATGTTAACAATATAAAGATTTTTTTGGTTACATTAATCTAATTTAATGTAGTTGATAAATTAAACAATTAAACAAGTTAATACTTTATTTGGAAGGATATCAGATGTATTTATCGGGGTCGAAAGACATTATGAGTCATATATATATATATATATATATATATATATATATATAACTCTTAATAACAGCACCTGAAAGTGTAAGGCAAATATCTGAAAAAGTCCCAAAATCAGCACTCCGGATAATAACAGGTCTACACCCATCCTAGCTATGCAGCTACAAGCGAACGTCAAGCCTTTAGAGATGCGTAGAGAAGTTCAATAAGCCTCTACGAACGACTACATAGACTTCTTATAGAGTACTAGTCCAAGAATAAGCCAGCATCAAAAAGACTTGTAACGCAAGTTACTTTTTTAAAGAAACATCAACAGCTTAAAGATAAAATAAACTTATTCCCCGCTCAAAGAGAACCACTTTCTTTAATATCACCTCAGTTTCCTGTAAACAGCGTCATATAACCTCAACCTTATTAAAACCATTAAAAAAGAAGAAGTTATACCAGAAGAAATAAGATTCTTGGCTCTTGCTGAACGTTATCAAAGCCCTCCGTGGATTCATGTTTACACCGATGGGTCTGCCAAACAAGCAACACACAATGGAGGGGCGTACTCTTAAGTGTTTGCTATTTCGGAACCGGTTCTGAAATGGGCCTCAAATTTCGACAGCGAAATAAGAGCAATTTTATTCGCAATGAAAGCCTTGTCACACTTAGATGCCAAAAATCTCGTATTGTTCGTGGATTCAAAGGCGGCTATTTCCGCTGTGTCACAGCCAAATGACTCTTTTGTTCAGGATATTCTGAAGTGCCAAAGGATCATAGAGGAACTTCTTCGAGGGACAGAGGTATTCTTTCAGTGTATACCAAGTCAATTTGGTCTACATGGAAACGAAATGGCTGATAAACTCGCCAAGGAGGGTTATACATTGAACCAGCCAGAAAATGAAATATCATATCAGAGAGCCAAAAAATAAATTAATAAGACCAGTGAGGCTCTATTACTGGATTCCGTAAAGAGCTGTATTGCGGAAAAGCAGTGGAGAAATTTTTTTAATGAAGCGGATCGAGTTCCCATGAACCTGCCGAGAGTGGAAGCTGTGGTAGAGTTCTGGATGATAACAGGCCACGACTACCTTAGGAAGCACCTGCATAGAATAGAAGTGGCTGGGTCTCCACATTGCAACCTATGTAATTCGAGAGCACATATGTACGCAGCGCATTTAGGTGTATGCCCGCGCTTGTTGAACATAAGAGATACCACGTCGTCCAAATCGGAATGGTAATGGGCTGAAAGATCTCTGATGGCGGAAGCCGATAAAGAGAGATATAATTAAAACAATATATATATAATACATTTACTGGAACATAAAATGGAAGAGTACTACTACTCATTACACAAAACATGATAGATAATTTTAAAATAATCTTGACACGCTCCTAAAATTTACTATTAATGCTAATATTGAAGTTCACATGGTGGAGGTGATAGCTGAGGGAAGTGGAGTGGTGGTGAGGTTAGTCAAGTTCCTCGATGACTGCTGGCCAGGCTGACCGAACTGGATCAAGATGACTAAGTATGTAGTAGCTGAAGCAATCATCTGGAAGCAGAACAATCAGAAAATATAATTGATGATAATTATCATATATCTTTCTAGTAATCATTCTCGAATACTTTCAGAAACTTTAAAGGGAGTACAAAATTTCCACAAAACAATAAACTTTATTACAACAAAAACGTTCATTTTCATCCCAGTTTCGAGATTCATACTTTAACTGCACTTTCCTGTTTTGTTTTTTTTTGTTTTTTTTTATTTGATACTTATAGCTTAAGGGGACTCTACACGGTCAATCGGAATTGCACTAATGACGTTCCGAATTGTCGTGTAAGGTAGCGAATTACTGAAGTACTGATGGTTGTGCGCTGCGGATTTCAGAACATCCGGAAATCAAAGGTTCATTCACGAGAAGTGGAGGGGGGGCTGAGGTAAAAGTAGTGGGGGGACTAACCATACTACTGGATAGGTTAGGTTACCTAGGCCTCACAACCATTATAAATTTCTGATTTTCATTCTATGTAAATAGTTAAATAATTTTTCATATCCCTTGTTTATAATTTTAAACCATCTTCAACTGTTACTTTTAAATAGTCAAGTGGGCAACAAATTAAAAAAAAAAATGAGGAAACTTCACAATTTACTTTATAAAAAAAAAACTTTAACGTTGTGTATATTTATCAGTTCTTTTCCCATTTTCCTCAACAAATTTATTATTTTGCAATACCTTTACTTAATTTTTGTAAGTAGTAGACTTATATTTTACTAACTTTTGACAAAACGATTTTCTATGAGACTAACCTTACTACTAGATAGGTTAGTTTACCTAGGTCTCGTTATTAAGTAAATAATTTCATAACAGTAAATAGTTGTTTATATCCCTAGTCTATATTATTATTAAACATTTTCAACTATTTTTTCTTTAAATAGTCAAGTAGGCAATAAATTGGAGAGAAAAAAAAGTGGAAACTTCACATAAGTAATGATCAGTAATGATTGAACGTGTAAGGGTCTTCATGGTAGCGTCGTCGCGATAGCGGGCAATCTTGGCACTTCTTGTGACGTTCATTCATGAATTACCGTGTAGGGTCTGCTTTACATTTTAAAAGTAGAAATACGTATTTATTTATTTTGTTTTTTATAATCAATAACCTATACATGGAATATATACTAAGGAAAATTATTGCGACCATTTCTCCATTTCCAGAAGAATTTATACATATTGGCGGGCACAGATTGTTTCAAATTCTTTTTCAGGTATCTGGGAGGATGATCATAAGACTCTTCTTCTTCCAATGGGCGTATACTGGCCATCGATGGATAATAAGTTTATTGGTTTAGCCGTTTAGGTTATTGGCTTAGAGATATGTTCCCTTAGCGTAATTTTATTTTGACTGATCCAGGTCAATGTCTATTATAGGATTTCCCCCAAGGAGGTCAATAATAAACTATTTATATAAATTAGTAACAACTTATTTACTTCAGTTTAGTTAAAATCTCCCTCTAATCTGGCTAAGAAGTCTTCTCTTTATCAGGCTGAGCCAATAGTCTGCATTATTTATATCAACTGTAAAGTTGTAGTTGACATGTGGTAGGTAGATACCTTTATTTACCTACCCGGTTGTTAACTAAATATCTTCATAATATTAAATTTAAAAACTTATTAGCCAACTGTTTGATACATAACAACTATTAAATTGGAGGGATATTTTGTCAGTGAAAAAGCGAATCACTTATTAAATAAATGGTTACTTTAACAATACTGGTAAAGTATGAAGCGTCATTCTTTGTGTCTTTTAAATAAGCTATGCTGTTAATATTATACCGCACCTATTTATGTATCATCTTTCGGCGATATCGCTTATACGTCGAATGTACAAGGCAGATGGATAGCTGTATATTATTATGCAAGTATTATACGTAATAAAAAGGTAGAAAAATATGTAAAATATTTTGATGAATAGTACATTTTTTAATATGGCAGGATAATAGTTTATGCAATAAAATATGAAAATATTTAATAAATTATACTAATATAAATAAATATTGAAAAAAAAAAAATCATTAATTTCTGAATAGAAAATATGTAATGTAAAATATACAAAATTTTTTTATAAGAGGGTATAAATTAACAGTAATAAAATAAACGATGACAAAAATGAAACAAACTTAGGCAGTGAAGTTCACTGTACCTACCGAATGTACTAAAGTGTAATCCAGGTTAAAGAAGCCACAAGCATTAAACACCACCTCTCTCCTCATCGAAAGGTGAAGTCTCAGCTTCTCCTAGAAAATTATATAGAGTGGGTTAAGATTAATCTTAAGTATTTTTAATATTAATATAAATAAATAACGCAAACAATTCAGAATATATTATGCATATAAAGAAATGTCCTTAATTTAAATTTTTGTTTACTCTGTTCTAAGATTTTTTAATATATAATGAATATGAACAATCACAACCAAATTAGTTCGAAGTCACTTCATAGTCCTATTTAGTTTTGTGGAGAGAGACTTGATGCAGTTTAGTTTGGTGGTAAGTGATAACTCGTTCACTTATATTAAACAGATAATTTAAAATAAATTTAAACAGATTATTTTTTATTTTAATACTTTGTTTTTCAATAGATTTAAACCAATCCAAACTATTTTAATTCAAGCAAACATGTATCGTGCATTATCGGAACGTATGATATAATTTTAAATAGAAGTTTAACTTTTCGCCTCCTATACTTTTCTCTGATAATTGTTTTCGAAAGAGGGTTGATCTAAATTAAAACAAAACATCATCATTCCTCTTATTTTCGAAAATAGTAACGCAGATTACTACTAAAATAGTTACATCACAACAAAGCTTATACGAACATATGAATCCAAAACCATTAAGTATAAAGTGACCGGCTATTTATAAACCTAAATAAATAGTGGCAGATAAATTAATTAAATTAAAAAAAAAAACAACTGCTGAACATTCTTCCCTTTACCAAGTGAAAATTATATCATATTTATTGTTTTAAAAATATAAAACTAGTAATGGACAGGGGGTCGGTTAAAATCTTTATTTAACAATAAGGATGACGATAAAGATAACATAAATGTTCAACTTACTGTAAGGAAAAACTGTTAGTAGCAAGGTATTTCTATTGTAATTGTTGAATGAACCAAATTAATGTCTATCAAAAGTAATACTCACATTCTGTCGTATCTCTTTGTTCTTATCGTCGATCATCATCTGATAAAGCAGTGTGTTGAATTCCTTAGACTGAAAAATATTACTATATATTATAAGCTTGCTTGAGATGTTTACTTATTTTTTGTGTTTCAATTTTTTCTTTTTCTTCATGATGATTAGGGTAAGCGCACCAGTGAATGGACATAGCTAAGGAAATTTTTGTCTTTTTTGGCTTATGCCGCCATAATTATTGCAGTTATAAACTTGGACATTGTGAATCTCTAGGGTCTATTTTTTTTTCTACAATTTAAAATTGAAAAAAATTTAGTTATGCAGGTATAATCTCCATTAAAAAAAAAAAAAACTGATCTCAAGAGCACTATAGAAACAACAATAATAGGCATTTTAAAATTTTCTTTTGGAAACTTTGTTCACACAGAGGGCATTACTCTTCAATCTAGAAAAACTGGAACCTTTAAATCAACAAGAAAGCTTGTTATTTACATTTAAAGCCTAAACTGTTCATAACTGGTGAGTTCACCCTAGTGCTAAAACATTTGGCTTATTAATTTACTTACCTACACATGAAATATATTGTAAATGACTTTTTCTTACTAGACTAATACTTATTAGTCCGCAGTACTGACCACTTTTTATCAAATTATTAACAGCCGTTTAAACTTCCATAATGCTTTCATCTTCATAGTCTTTTGAACTATATAATCTCGTTTTTTTGGCATGCGGGTGAAGATCACGCTTAATGACTCAGCATTATTGTATGCTATAGTTTTTCTCTATTTTGTGAAAAAAATTATCTTCTGGTTTAAATGAAAATCAAACTGATGTTCATGAATTTTTAGAATCTCATTAATTATACAAACTCGCCGATCAACATATTAAAAACGGTCTATTTCCCAGTATTTTCGTAAATAAATAAGTTATAGGTAACGATAACTTGAAGACATGGACGGATGTTAATAATTTGATTTAAAAAATAGGTCTGTACTCCACAGAAAAAAAAATTACTAGTCTCTCGAAACTCTTTGAATCGAACTCGTTATATTAATTTACAGTTCAATGATCTTTGATCAGCCATACTAACACCGAAATATTCTGTCAGGTCTTAAATGCCGAATTTTCAAAATTTCTTCAATTAAAGTACCATTATCTTTTCATTTGAATCCTTAAATGGCCATAAATAAATTTAAACTATGAAAGGATTGATTATTAACTAAATAAAAAGCTGAGGAAAATGGTAAACTGAGAGTGGAAGCCAGAGCATCGGCGGTGGAATTCAATTCCAAAGCCATGATGCATTGACCGAATACCCCGTGAGGAATGCGAGCATTGATCACCTTGAGATTGCCTGACAGGTCTTCTCCTTTACGCGTGAATTTTAACTTATCTTCTGGCCGGAGGAGGTCGAAAGACACCCCTCCAACATTACCAGGAACTTGTTGAAAACTAACTTTCTTAGGATTGGGTCAAGAACTGATCCTAGAGAACAGTTCCTCCCTTTGGAACCTTCTGTTTCATAGAAACTACTTGGAACGCATGTCCTTTGGCTTGTTCCTTTCTAAGCCGTATTTGTTACTGAGGGATATTTTTGCAGCTGTTGAAGAACAAGTGTCAACCACTTGCGATCGAGGGCGGAGAATATTTCGAAGAGCAACATCACGACATTCCGCCTCTGTTCTACGTCCACACGCACTCTGAAAAGAGCCTCAGCGGCTTCCTTACCCTTCGTGGAGCCATATTGCCATGGGAGACTTGTCCTTATGAAAACTGATCTGAAATTGGCCATAATGGGAGCCTTGCTCATTACAGGGAGGAGACTTCTATGTCTATATGAACTAGGGAGGAGCTTATCTCTGTGCAGAAAAGGATGGGCAAATGCTACTCTGAGTAATTAGTAGCTAGTATTTTACTCAAATACTGACCTTTTTTTGTCACCAAAGAATTTAATTGCTACTTCAGTTGATGTCAAAGGATTAACTGAAGTAGTGATTGAATTCCCAATAGTGATTCAATTTGAGTAATATATTTGGTACTCGGTGATCAGAATATATAGAATATTGTGATGAATAGTTGGTTTACTGACGAAATCCGAATACCCGTGCGCAATGGCTAGATCGGGATCAAGCTGCTTTACCGGTTGCTGCAAGAGGGCAATTTGAAAAAAAATTAAATTTTTAGAATTTTGAAGGTATCATTCATCACGAATTTGTTTCTGATGGATGCTCAATGAATTCTGAACTCTACTGCGACCAACTAGAAAAATTATTATGAATTATTAAAATTATTTTATGAAGTTGAAATAGCGGTCCAAGAGTTCTTTAACAGCCATCACAAATCAGATGGCTAATGACGGTAGATAACAATGGACTATGCTTTGAGTATTAAGTGATTTTATATCAAAGAAATAATAATACAAATATTTGTTTGAAAAACGATCATTTTTTTTTTATTTTTTTTTTATACATCGTGTTATTAGAACGCGATATGAAGTCCCCTGTTTGTATAGAGATAAAATATTATATTTTCCAAATTTAAATTCCCATAAGTGACCGTAGTCTTTTCCGAGTAATCTGCCTTATCGTCTGAATGTATGTATCATGATAGGATTGCTTAAGGAAAGTTATCAAATGAAAGGGCTGAGTATAGAGTACGGTTCATAATATAAATTTGAGGGTTTCAATTTATGTCTCGAACCAGAGGATCAGTGCCTATATGCTGCACATTGACTGGGCGATGGGGCCTACGCCTAGTTATGTATTATGTAATAATTGCTAATAATAAATACTGTAAACCCACCTTTGAATATGTCATTGCTGAAGAACAGTTGACTCTCCATATGAGAGAAGAAACGAACAACAATATTAACAACTGACTAAAGATGATAAGAAGGTTGACATCACTAGATGATATTCGGTTAACGAGGAAAAAGAGACGAATTAAAACAAAAGCATAACTGAGTAACAAAATCATGAATATTTGGAAAGTATAAATAGAATTAATATCATCAGTAGTATAAACTAAACGATTCACTACTTCCACAGTTTTATTTACATGCATCAACTTCTTCGAAAAGTCAGGGCTCCGTAATAACTTTATTCCGGAGTCAAACATATCTCCAACATTATCGACTAACAAGCTGAATTGTTCACTCCCTACACAATAGATAAAACAGGTTAAAGCCGCCCATGTAGACGCTCCTACTGAGAAATATGTTTCTCCCGAATAAAATCGAATTACATTTATAAAGATCACGGCAAAAAAAAAAAGAAATATTCTTCTCTCGGTAGTCTTATTTGGAATAGTTACTTTTAATTCATTAAAATACAATTTCAAAATATTAAGACGTCGAAAAGTTTCCGTGACCAAATCGTGGTTTAGAGATATGCTAAGAAGGTATATAGGTCCCATCAGATTGCTGGCAATAACTTGTGCGATAAGTATTAAGTTTTCTAAGCTCATAGGTAACAAAAACAAATGACTAATTAACATAAATAATAAAGCCGTCTGAAGGCCAACTACAAAGATAGAATAGAATAACAAATGCCAGTCGATCTGCAAAACATTATTGATGCTACGGAACGGGAAAATTCCCATAATGGACGATGCTCTGAAGATGATGTTGGATTCAACAGATTGGATTGAGTGTCGTGACATTTCCGAAGGCAAGAATGAAGTATATTGTGACCATCTGAACTTCCAAGACTATAATCGATAAGTACCAGGTCTTATGGTGATAGGTAAACATATCACTTATCTCGTTCTAAAACATCTCAACATCAATATAATAGATGGCATTAAGAAATGAGTATATTGATATCAATATATAGGTTACCTGATATATATATATATATATATATATATATATATATATATATATATATATATATATATATATATATATATTGTATAATCTGCAATTATTTGTTTTTAATGGCTGAGAAAATCATGAAAATAAAGTTATGGTAATATTACTTAGAAGTCCACTAACGTGTTGCGCAAGTACTGGAGATGGCTCACATGAAGTATTTTATATATGACTTATTATTGATTTTCCATATTATTTTTAAATGGCACTCATTTTTACTTCCATTTACCTATATATGAAATATAAAATGAGGGAAAGTATTGCGATATTGAAAATTTTTGATTCGGAGTTTTCTTCTTCTATAACTTCCCTCTTTAGTGCCGCACAGCGTAGATGAGCATTCAGCCAGGATCTCTGTGGTCGTTCATCTTGATAACAAGGCTGAACCACTTTAGCTGAAGAGTTTCTAGAAGCTATTTAAGTGGGGCTATCTGCAGTTCCTGACGAATACTTTCATTGCGAACTCGATCTCACCTTGTTTTTCCAACCGTCCTTTCATTTCGGCAGCGGCCATTCTGCTCACCTGTCGTTCTGTTAATATCCAACTCTCCATTCCATACAAAAGCATGGGTAGATATATTGTCTTGAAGATGTGTAGCTTGACGTCTTTGCCTACTTCTCTATTCCCTACCACAGTGTTATACACGCCTAGTGAGCCTAGTGAGCCTAGCCTATATACTAGGTGAGCCTACCCACTATCGTTAATTTACCTTCTGTGGGCTTATACGACATGCGACATACGACTTCAGGAGCTTTCTAAATCATGACATGCATAGACGTATGGAACGGAGCTGTAATGGGTCGTGGAAGGCAGCAGGCACTTCATCAAGTTTCAATATTAATAAGCACTCACAACTAGGGATGGATATCGAAGGACCAATATCGATATATAATAATATCGACCTATAACATGTAGATACCATCAAGATATCGGACTCGAAATATCCATCCCATATTATATAAATATATATATATTTATATCCATGAATATTAATACAAATATTGATTCGTTGCACAGAGGTCTCGAAATTAAGGCCCGCGAGTCGGTTCGATTCTACCAGCAAAAGTTTCTTTGACTATATGTAAAATTATATAATAACTATTATATAAAATAAAATTTAGTAAATCAGTCGCACACGCGGTTACTGGAACATCTATTGTATACGTTTATCTCTTGGAAAGCTCATATTCCAACTGAAGTGTCATTTATAGAACAAACTTTTTTTTCTTCATCACAAGCCATGACACAAGATATACTTGTTGGAGGTCTCAATGCGGCCAAAAAGTTTGGAGACTCCTACTCGAGCACATAGGCGTATCAAACAATACGTTTGTTTATTTATTTAGTCTTCAAGGCGTAAAACCCTAGGGTCATCAACGCCTGTGAGTCGGTTATATTTGTAAACTCTTTAGAGGACAATTAATAATTAATAATAGATAGAGTAATAAATGAAAAAGATATTTAAAAACACATAAAAAAGAAATATATTAAAATAAACATAAAAAAAAAGAAAGAACAATAAAATAAAAATATATTTATTTTTATATTTTATTTAACAGCCTATGGATTTTAAGAAATTTTATCACTGTTTTTATGTTTGATTCGTTGTTGCTTAATACTGCTGATTTATCCGGTTTAGAGATAATCGATTTAGGCTTGAAGTATAATAAGTGCATTCCTGGAAAATATGATTGACTGTGAGAAGGCTATTGCAGTGCTGACAATTTGGTAGTGGCTGCTTAGTGATGAGGTGTACATGGATTAGGTTCGTGTGTCCTATTCTTGAACTGGTCACGGCGACTTCCTCTCTACGATTAGCGCGACGTGATCCAGGGCTTCACTGATTTTTTAACAGCTTTTAATTTGCTAGGTGGGCTTTCGTTCCACATAGATTGCCAACTATCCAATATTTCCTTTTTGAGAGGAACACTCATTTCTGGAGGAGTCAGGATAGGACTACCTCGGTGTGGAAGCGCGAGTGCCTGTTTGGCTGCCGTATCCGCAAGCTCAATACCAACTATACCCACGTGACTGAGAACCCATATAAAACAAACCGACAAAAAACATGTTATTTTCCACTTTAAATTAATTACTGGAAATATCCATTCTTCTAGTCTCCTTAGTAAAATAAAAGTTCCCCAGGGTTACCCATTCCTCCCATTATCGATTGCACAAAAATCTATCCTTCCCCATTCCTCACCTTTTCTTAAAAATAAAGCAATTTCTTTTAAGAATCGTGATCTTGGTTTGAGAAGGTTCTAAATAAAAAATTTGGGCAAATTGAGTTTACTGAGCGAGGAGTGCCCCACTATTCAATGTGCTATTCAACTCTATTTAAGAATGGCCGTTGATAGTCGACATTATCGAAATATCGATATTTTCCTTTACTACTTTCTACATGAAACAGGCAACATTAGTATATATAAATATTTTCTAACGATCAGATTCATACATAAATAATGAAAATTAGGTCATTCCGAAAACGATAGTTTTAATTTTAATTTATACACTGACAGGCAAAAAATTCCACCCACTTGATTTTTTCATGTTTTCATCTAAAAATATTTCTGCTTTGGATTGGTCTATTATTTTTAATGAATAAATAGGTAATCTTTTTGTTTGTTTTCAATCAGGAATGTTAATATAGAGGACAATAACCCTTAATCCTTAATTCAATGAAATGATTCTAGATTCCAATGTTTACTTTCTATGGAATCAAAATGTTTATTCAGTATCATTAGTTCAGTGCCGTTTCTTGCAGCACATTTCTTAGTCTCCGGCTTTTAATTTTTTCAATATCAAGTTTAATAATGCCTCTTAGTGCTGAGGATGTTGCGCGTGGTGTGGCACTTATTGATGATGGACGTTCCATTAGATATGCAGCTAATGCCATCGTAGTTCCATATGAAACTTTACGAGGTGCCGTCAGGCGTTTTCGGGAAACTGCTTCTTACAATAGAAGGCCCGGTTCTGGACGGCCTAAGGTAACAGAACCACGGAATGACCGGTTTTTGAATTTGAGAATTTTACGATACCGGCACCTTAGCGTTGTTCAACCGATTCATCAGCTCGAAGAAGTATGAGGTGTGCAAATTTCTGAACGTACCGCTCGGAGAAGATTAAATGAGTATTAATGACTTTCCGTCCAGTAAGAGGACCAGAGTTGACCAGAACTCACAGAGTAACACGGCTGGCTTTTGCTCCAGAACACAGCCATTGGACTATGGAGGAATGGAGTGCTGTACTTTTTACAGATGAGTCAAGATGACTCTTCGATCTCCAGACGGACATGAGAGGGTGTGGAGAAGAAGAAACGACATGCAGCCTGTAATTTTTCCCAGAGCCAACCTTTCCAACGTGGTTCCTTAATGGTGTGGGCTGGGATTTCAATGGAGCGCCGCACAGAATTGGTTGTTGCTCGTGGAGGGTGTTTGACGGCCATTCGCTATGTAGATGAGATTTTGGAACCTCATGTGTTGCCTGTCCTCAACGAAATCGGCGATCGTTCTATTCTAATGCACGATAATGCACGCCCACATGTCGCCCGCATAGTGCAGACGTTCCTTCAACAGAACAATATTGAGGTTTTAGCCTGGCCAGCTCGTTCTCCAGATTTGAACCCCATTAAGCATTTATGGGATAACATCGGAAGACGAATAAGAGCGCGTGCAACACTTCCTGATACACTGCAGGACCTTGAAAGGGCTCTTCGGGAGGAATGGGATATCCTCCAGCAAAGGGACATTTCTCGACTGGTGGAAAGTATGGCGAGGTGTCTTCAAGAAGTAGTGAAGGCAAGAGGAGGAAACACGCGCTACTAAACGATGATGTAATTAATTTCTTTTAGAATAATAATGGTTCGTTTTTCAATTTTTTTTTCTCTGATGTTTCTTACCCAATCACATTTTGATTATTAAAGGTAAAAAAGTTTATAAAATTCCATAAATACTAAGTATTATCTACAAATACCATGTATTATATACAAATACAACTTTTTTTACAAGTGGGTGGAGTTTCTTAGATGAAAACATGAAAAATCAACTGGGTTAATTTTTTGCCTGTCAGTATAATTCAGATATATAAGGCAGTAGATAAGCTGAGTTTGTGTCCTCAACTCGTCCCTCAGTTTTCCATATTTTTAGAAGAATTTCTCTGATTATTCACTGAATACAGTTCAAGTATACATCAGAGCAGTATTGATGGTATTGGTGATATTTGCTGTTTGATATCTTTTCTTTATTATTATTTTCTTTTCTTCTCTTATGATATACGAT